TGTGTTTATTCAACTCTAATATTTGATTTATATTTATATGCATATAGAATCCTCGGTTGAAAACCATATTCTTTTCCCAGATATTTGAAAACATACTCCTCCCCTTTCTGTTACTCTTAAGCGCAGCGTGCATTCAAAATGTGCACATATCATCAGTGTCCAGATTCACGACTTTTTAATAAACTAAACACACTCTGTAACCAGGACTCAAATCAAGTAAAAGCATTCTTAGACATAAAACTTAAGACCCATAAAAATATAGATAGGTTGGTTTTCATCAAAATTAAAAACTTCCGTTCCATGGAAGACCCGATGAAAGGGCGAAAAGGGGGTGTTCCATCGAGATGGCGCAGAGGTAACGGGGTACTCCCATCCTCCCACAGCCACATCAAAATTACCACTAACCAACAGGACAACCTTCACTCGGAGACACTAGGCATCTGGTTGGACAGAGTCCTTTAACTGCAGATATAAAAGAAGCCACACCGAGACTGGTAGGAGGAGCAGACGTGAGACAGGCTGGTCCCACGCCCACGTGTGGCGGATAAAAATAAAGGAAGTACTTTGGCTGCAGAGCTTCCCCCTGAGGAGTGAGGGGTCCCAGCTAACACCAGGCCCCCAGCCCAGGGTTCCAGAGCCAGGAAGATAAATCCCCATAACTTCTGGCTGTAAAACCAGCGGAGACTGAGGCGGAGGGAGACAGAAGGCTGCTGGAGTCCCAGGTGTTCCTTTTGAAGGGCCCACGCACAGACTTCCTCAGACTCACTCTAAGCTCCAGGCCTTGGGCAGCAGCTCAAGGGCTCTAGGGACATGCAGGGAGGAACTGAATTGTCTGGCTTTGGGGTAAGAGCTGGATGGGCAGCTTTGTCCAGACAGAAATGCTGGCAGAGGCCATTGTTCCTTTGCTGAGCCCTCCCACTGCAGAACCAACAGGTAGGCACCATGCCTGAAACCCCAGCCAATGTGCAGACCACCTCCAGCGTCTTTTCCATACAAACAGCCTGTCTTGGTTCATGCTGTGAACTTTCCTAAGATATCACAAAGGTTCACAACCCCACGCAAGCGGCATCCAGCCTCTGCATGGCCTGTACTTCTTGCTAAGGAGCCCCAGACCTGGCTTTAGTGGCACTAGGCTCCAAGCCTCAGTTTGAAGCTTGGCCTCTCCCAGGCACCTTCAAGTCCAGCACAAGTAGCAGCCATCTGCGTATCGCTCTGTAGCTCATGCCAGGTGGCCCCAGGCAGGGCACAGGTGGTGCTGACCTTGGTCTGCACCTCTTGGGAGACTCAAGAGCCAGTGCTTCAGCTCATGTGAGATTACAACCCAACCACCTTCATGAGCAACACACTCAAGGGGCAAACTCGGTGGGCACCAAAGCCTAACAGAAGCAAGTTCTGCTCCCTGGGGTCGGCCCCTGCATAGCAGCTCCTCTGCTGTTGTCATAGCAGCAGATGATTGGTCCAGATGATTGGTCCTCGAAGCCAATCATCTGGGTGCATGGGTGTCAATTACTCCCAGTGATGTGCCAACAGCATTCAGGGCTCAACGACAACAGAAGGGTGCACGCAGCCCACACGGGGTTGGGGCACACCTGGAGCCCCAGCTCAGATGACTTGGCAGTCTGCACCACTGGGCTCTACAGGACACTTACTACATGAGGTAGGTCTGCCAAGCCCGGGAGACATAGCAGCTCTATGTAATACACAGAAACAAACACAGGAAGCAACCAAAATGAAAAGACAAATAAACAGGTCCCAAATTACAGAATAGGAGAAATCTCCAGAAAAAGACCAAAATGAACTGGAAGCAAACAAGCTACCAGATACGGAATTCAAAATAATGGTTATAAGGATGCTCAAGGAACTTAGGGAAAGAGTAGAGGAATTTAGAACTTCAATAAAGAGACAGGAGACATAAAAATGGAGATAAAAAATATATAAAAATGAGTCCTGGCCAGGTGGCTAGTTGGTTGGAGCATCATCCCATGCATCGAAAGGTCACAGGTTCAATTCCTGATTAGGGCACATGCCTAGGTTGCAGGTTCAGTCCCCTGTTGGGGTGTGTGTGAGAGGCAACCGACCAATGTTTCTCTGTCTCTTTCTGCCTTTCTCTCTCTAAAATCAGTGACTGTATCCTCAGGTAAGGATTAAGGGGTGTGGGGGGGACATCCAATCAGAAATAAAGAATACAACAAGTGAAACGAAGACTATGTTATAGGGAATCAACGGTTAAGTACATGGATCAAATAAGCAATTTAGAAGATAAGAAAGCAGAAAATACCCAATCAAAACAGCAAAAAGAAAAAAGAATCCAAATAAGGTACAAATAGTATAAGGAGCATCTGGGACAACTTCAAGCATACCTACATTTGCATCGTGGGGGTGCCAGAAGGAGAAGAGAGAGAGCAAGAAATTGAAAACCTATTTGAAAAAATGACAAAAAAGTTCTCTAACTTGGTGAAAGACATACAAGTCCAGGAAGTACAGAGAGGTCCGAACAAGATGAACCCAAAGAGGACCACACCAAGACACATTATAATCAAAATGCAAGATGGGAGACCGTAGGGAATGGGTAAAAATGGGGGAACGATTAATATGTGTAAATTGCCAGAGATAGCACAGGAAACAGAGTCAAGAATATTACAGTAATTGTGTATAGTGTCAGATGGGTACTAGATTTATTGGGGTGATCACTTTGTAAGTTATATAAACATCTAATCACTGGGTGAAACTAATACAATATTGTACGTCAACTATAATTGAAAGATAAATGTTATTTTTTTAAAAAGGGTGAGAAAAGCAAGCCACGTTTTTCTTATTGACTAGCAGAAAATATTTGTGAATCATATATCCAGAATATATAAAGAATTCTCTAAACCCAACAGTAAGAAAATGAACAATCCAATTAGAAAATGGACAAAAGACTTAGATGATCAATGTCGATGGCAAATAAACACATGAAAAATTTTTCAGCAATGGTCATTAGGGAAATATAAATTAAAACCACAATGAGATACCACCATGCAACTATCACAATGATTAATATAAAAAAAACTGACAGTACCAAATGCTGACAAAAGTATAAAGAAACTGGATTGCTCATTTTTGCTGGTGGGAATATAAAATAGAGGAACCACTCTGGAAAATTGTTTGGCGTTAAAAAAAAATTAAACATACATTACATACATATGACTTCTGGGCATGTATCCTAGAGAAATGAAAACGTGTGTGTGCACAAAAATCTGTACACAGATGTTCATAGTAGCTTAGGTTATAATAGCCCCAAACTGGAAACAACCCAATGTATTTCAGTGGGTGAATGGCTATATAAACTGTGGAACATCTGTATCACAGAATGCTACTTAGTCACCTAAAGAAACTACTGACACACACAGCTTGGATCTATCTCAAGAGCATTATGCTGGGTAGAAAAAGCCAAACTCAAAAGTTTACATATATAATCATTCCATTTATATGACATTCTCGAAATGGAAAAAGAATTACCGAGATGGAGAACAGATCAGTGGTTGCCAGGAGTTAGGGAAGGGAGGTGTGTGTGGCCATAAAGAGGGTAGTAGGAGGGATTACTTTGTGGTGACAAGCAGTTTTATATCTTGATTGTGGTCATCCAGGAGATAAAATGTCATAGAACTCTACACACAGACACACACAAACAGAGACAGAGAGAGACAGAGAGAGAGAGAGACAGAGAGAGGCATGCATGCAAAGACTAGTGAAATCCAGTAAGGTTTTGTAGTCTGTTGATTATACTGAGTCAATGTCAACTTCCTACTCTTGACAATGTACTATAGTTACGACAATAGTTCTCATTGCAGGAAGCTGGTGCGAGACACAAAGGACTTCTATGTATACATTCTTATGAATCTATAATTACTTCAAAATAAAAGTTAAAAATAATACTGTTATCTTTGTTGTTTTGGGATGATTTTTGAAAGGAGAAAGGAGAGACTGAAAGGTGTTTACCATCTCCAAAACTCATTATTATTCATAAATAATTCCATACCTCATTAATTCTTAAAAAAAAACAAAACAGTTTTGGTCCAGCTGGTGTGGCTCAGTGGTTGAGCATTGACCCACGCATCAAGAGGTCGCTGGTTCGATTCTCGGTCAGGGCACATGCCCAGGTTGTGGGCCAAATCCCCAGTGGGGGCATGCAGGAGGCAGCCAATCGATGTTCTCTCTCATCAATGTTTCTATCTCTCTCTCCCTCTCCTTCCTCTCTCTCTAAAATCAATAGAGAACAAAATAAAGTTTTTAAATAAATACCTTAATGCCCAACTGCATTATTAAAAAAATAATAAATAAATAAATAAATAAATAAACAGTTTTGTGGGCATATTTTTCTTATCAATAAAATATTGAGTAGTACTGCTTTTAATTGTTTGGGCTATGTTAATTTTTATGAAAACTCAAAAGGTACAAACAAAGATACAATGTAAAGTACATCTCTAATTCTCTCCCTATAGACAACCACTGTTACCAATTTGTTGTAGGTCTTGGGTCCCTTTCCACAGTTATCTATGAATCACAATGTTTGTTACTGGTACTGTTACTACACCATGAGGGACTTTTTGTGGAGTCATTCATCACAGGCAGGGGATGACGACTAGGGGATAGAGGAAGCATCTCCTTTGTGGTACCCTGTGGTGGATTTGACATGATCAGATTCATGATCTTCTCCTTTTCCATGTTAACATCCATAAAGACAAGCCACACTTTAGTATTTAGTGTGGATGCAACAATATTTTGTGGTATTAGATACACACACAACGCATGAGGCTGAGAGTTGACTAGCTAATTACCGCTCTGAGATTAATCTCAAAGAACACTGGCTTATTGTGTTCTAAATTTCTTTATGATTACATTAAAATATAATTGCAGTATATAATTGTTATAAAATATTCAAACAACACAAATGAAGCAGTAGATGAAGTAGGTTATCCACTTTTTGTTGGTTCATTTCTTTAAAGAGAGCATCTTACCTCACTGCTGCTGATGCTTTGCAAGAGCATATTTTGGTTTTTAGTAACTGTCATATCAGTTGGAGAAGAGTTGGTATCATGACAAATGTCAAGCAATGATTCAGCATGTCTTTCTGCCAAAAGAAACATAATAATGTGTTACGATAAGACTCATCTCTAGCAATTTCACTGGAGGATTTAGCTCTTGGTTCTAAAATCAGTCCCATTTTGTCCTAAAATAGTGGTCCAGGATCCTGATGAAGCTTTGGGGGATAGTTTTCATAGGAAGAGATGTGAGGACAAGAGTCCACAGAATGAATGTTTTTTGTTTGTTTGTTTTAAATTAAGCAAAGTTGCTAAGTGAAACCCCTAACAATAGGCTGGAAATCACATTTGCTCTATAGTTGCCAAAGGTAAAAACACTCAGCTACCCGGAGCACATCCTGTCTAGCACTGAAGCCACATTAAATTGACAATGTTTGAACACCAAACAGTGAACTCCCAGTTAGCTCCTGAGGGACATTGTTCTCACATTCATCCCCCTCCTGCTAGCCTGACTTCTTCAAATAAGCATGGGCTCCTCGATGAAAAATTCTTCCTCTTCCAATGGCTCTTCCATTTATCTTGTAACAGACACAACATTGAACAAACGATCTATACTAAGACCCTCTATTTCTTCATCATATTTTTGTCTTTTCTCTTTGCAATCTATCTTCTGCGCCTGTATCCGGCCATTGAAACTTCTCACTTCTGCTTTTGTAACCTCTTTTCTAATTTGATGTTGTTTCCACTTATTCCTCTCGCAACTCTCTCCCACTTCTCTTCCCCCCTTTCTCACTCCCCTGAGACCCTGTGTACACACCGCTCTTTAACTGTGGGTGCACCTCCTTGGCTCAGTCCCCTGCAATTTTCTCATCATCATCAATCCTTCAATGATCTTGTCCACTCGCAGGTCCTCATACGCTCCCCTGTGTAGAGAACTCCCGACTAACATATCAACCCTTCCTTTCCCAGAAGCCCTGTCCTACAGAAAATTGCTACTTGAAAGTGCTGGGGTTCCAACGGTACAGTGTTTTAGAACACATTACTTCGATGTCCTCACAGAACCAGTGTTCTAGTTTGTTGATTGTATTTCCATCTCCCCAAGGAATCATGTTTGACTCAACTCTTTCTCAACTTTTGTCTTTGTGTCTCCTCTATCAACCTTACATCACTAAGTTCTGTAAATTCTGCTTTCACAATATCTAGTAAACTCACCACATCCAGCACCTCTAACACCTACTACCACACCTTGCCCGAGGACTCTTTTCCTGGTTCTTATCACCACACACAGACACTTGTGTGCTTTCTTTATAGAGCTCCCTGCCACGAGTCTCTTTCTTTGAATCCTACACAATAAAAACAGGTAAATTTTCCTAAAACAGAGCTTTCATCATTCTCTGATTCAAAATTCTTTAAGGATTCTATTTTATTGAAATAGAATCCCAGCTTTACATGAAAGGGTCCTCAATGGACACACTTTTTAATGTATCTGACATTATGTGTTCCTCTTCCCTGACATGAATTTTTGGTTCTAGTCTCCTGTTTGGCCCTGGGATAACCATGCTCCCTTACAGCACGATGTCTCTGCTCCACAAAATCAAATCCCATCATTTTTCAAGGACCAGACTGAGTCTCACCTCTTCCATGAAACCCTCTTAAGTTCACCCTTGTTTCCTGCCCAGAAGCTTCAAACAAAAAGCCAATTAATAAAGTCAAGCAGGTTTCACAAAGTTATATGTTGCTCAGTGGCATTTTATTTTTTAATTATGCCTTTTGTTGTGGCTGTTACTATGTCCTTGCTCAGACTCTCTTTCCCATCTATATCAAACCTTCTATTTTTTTCTTCCTACCATATCTTAGCCATTCAAGAACTATCATAAGTCCCTCTTCCCCTTCCAAGTTCACAATAAGTTCTTTCTCCTCTTACTTATGTGATGTGTCCCTGACCGTACTGAACACTTTCATAAGTTTGGCCCATGTCTTAGATTTCTTTGCATCCCTCAGAGAACCTGGTCATGAGCTTTCAGTCACTGCTCAGTAAATAGCTGTTGGCTAAATTTCTTTAAATGGATCCATCAAATACATGTGGAAAAATAAAGATTTCTAGTAGACCCTTTCAGTTGGGAAATTTGAAAGTGGAATAGGAATATTTACCTGGTTTTGGTAGAGAATTCATTAGAATATCCAATAACTGCTGTTTCTTAAAACTCTTTATTTGTGACACATAATGTATTGCTGATTTTCCACTAAAATCACAGAGTTTCGGATCTCTAGGAAAAAATAGAATCAACATCACTGATTATTAGTTAAATCTGTTGAAAAAGAAAACAAATATGGAAAAAACATTGATATCAAATAAATAAAAGTAATCTTATGGAGCTTGGGGATAACAATAATGACCTCAAAATGTATGAGATAGTGACAATTTTTCTAAAAACATTCTCATATCTGCACAAAACTTTTGGACAAAAAAATTCATAATTCGTTACCAATGCATAAATTAAGTCAAGATAAAAACATCTTGATAAACCATTGTCATATTCCAAATAGTTGATTCTTTTTCTTTTCAATTTTTTTTTAAACATTTTTTTGTTTATTGATTTTAGAGCGAGGAAAAGAGAAAAGGAGATAGAAACATCGATGAGAGAGAACATCGATTGGCTGCCTCCTGCATGCCCCGCACTGGGGATCAGGCCCACAACTTGGGCATGTGCCCTGACCGGGAATCGAACCAGCGACCTCATGCCTAGGTTGATATTCAACCACTGAGGCACACTGGCTAGGTTCTTTACAATGTTTTAAATAATTACTTACTTTCTTAATATATCTTTTTTTAAAAATGCTAATACCTAATTCTTTTACCATTTAAAATAGCAGAATGACAGAATCTCTCTTTCAAATTAAGCTGATATGCTTATTTCATGGGCTCTTGGTTGGGTGGAGTGATCTTGTCATAAAATCCCTCTCTGCATGGTCTTTTCATTTCTCTTTGCTTTACCCTGTGGTTGTTAAGCCCAACTGGCCAATCTTAGGGCTCCTTGCAACAGCACTAATATCCTTTCTATGCTGTATGAATCCTAGACATCAGCTCAGAGGGATCCAGAGGGTAAATGATGAGAACGCTATCATCAGGTCCTGGTCTCTGACCTAACTTCTTTGCATTTGAATCTATTGTTATGGGACTGCGTAATGTTTTATGACCCGCAACCATATTTTGTTATGGCCTTTTCTCCACCAAGGTCACAATTCAAAAGAAATAGGATAAGATCAAGGATCAGGAGACTGTTACTATCTTAATATGTGGCCTTAAGCAAGTCACTTAACTTGTTGGGACTTCAGTTTGCTCATCTGCCCAGACAGTGTTTCTCCACCAAGGCATACCTTGATCTCCTGCATTCTGGAGCCCACTTCAGGACCACTCAATACTCTGGGGTGGCATCTAGTAATCTCCATTTTTAACAATCTCCTCAGCTGTTTCTCAACACTAAATGCTAAGGTAGCTTCAAATTTCCATCTTCAGCCTCTTACTACTAACTGATACTTTTACAATAGCTCACATTCTAGATTATACTTTCCTTTTTAAAGCGCTTCTTCCTCCCCTCCCCACCAAACATAATGCATAGGAAACAGCTTGGGCCACCTGTTCTTATTTGATGACAAGATGTCTAGGTAACAAACAGCATTAGGAAACTGCAATTCTAACAGAAGAGACTGCTTGTTAACTCTCTGATTTTCTTTTAAGTTAATTGTTTATTTGCCCCCTCCTAAAAGAGCATGTTGGCATATAGTAATTTTTAGATAACTGGAAATCACCACTATAAATTGTTTTTGATAATGGACAATGCTTTCCAAAATAATTAGTAACATCTTGGGGGTGGGGAGCTACATACTAAAGAATTATCTGACATTCCCAGTAACTACCAAAAGAGTAAGTGCTAAACAAGTAAAACAAAGGACTGATGTAAGAATAGTAGATAGCACCGTCCAACATCTGTGTGTTGCTTTGCAACCGCAAAGTCCCTTTTGTGAACATTCATGTGCATTTAGTATATATAATTTTCAAAAATCTAAATTACTTCTGTATGTCAAAATGGCACAGATGCGCTCACACGGGTGTTGACCGGCGCTCGTACTCACGCGCGGTGCCGGAGGAGCTCAGACAGAACCTCCACAGGTCTGTAGACTGTTACCATGTCGAGGCCCTCAAACAGGTCCACGTCTCTCACAGCTAGCATCACAGGGGTCAGACCGTGCTGGTTTGGGAAATTTATGTCCAGGAACTCTTCAGACGCCTTTAAAAAACATGAAATTTCATTTCCATTATGTTTTTCTGAATGTCCCTTTATACTAATCTTTGCATTTTCATTATTACTTGGCCAAATTCTTATTTCATCTTCAATACATTCTTTCTCAATATGTATATTGAGAGGTTGCTGATGAATTGAAAGAACACGGGCCTGAGAGGCAGACAGACCTGGGTTTAAATTTTAGTTTTGTTTTTTTTTATCCTCACCGAGGACATTTTTCCATTTTTTGTACAGATAGAGTGGGAGGGAGAGAGAGGAAGAGAAAGAGAGAGAAACGTCGATGTGAAAGGGACACATCGAGTGGCTGCCACCCGCATGACCAACCAGGGCCGGGGACAAACTACAACCAAGGTACATGCCCTTAGCGGGAACCGAACCCGGGTCTCTCCGGACCGCAGGTGGGCGCTCTAACCACTGAGCCAAACCGGCCAGGGCAAATTTTAGTTTTTTTTAAGTTGGTTATTTAACCTCCCTGATAGGGTGCTATCAAGGACACTCTGTTAAAAGGTGATTAAATCACCCTGACAAAATAAGGGACTTCACCAGTTACATAATGAATAACTTTCATTTGGGACATAATTGTACTACAAAAATTGATATTTATCTAAAATACAAATTTAACTGAGTGTCCTGTAGTTTTATTTGCACAATCTGGCAACCTCCTCACTGACCTTCAGAGCCCCAGCTACCAAGCAGGGTACCGGCGGCTCCCCTGTGGGGCGGCTTCGGTGGCCGGGGAGCAGTCTCACCCTGCTCAGCAAGCATTTGTGGAATGAATGACTGATTTACAACCATAAGGCTGCCCATTTCACTGTATTTATATAATCAAATGGTGGATATATAAGTGTTATTTGTTGTTTTAATGTTTTAAATTAATTAAATGTTAAATTTGGATAATTCAAAACTGAAAAGCTACTGGAAAGCCAAATTATCCAAATTGTTTATTTCACAGACCGAAGTAACTCACTAATTTTCATCTTTATTTCACTTTGTGCTATGTTACTATAGTCAGTGTCTCTACCTCAGTTTCCCCAGGGACAAACTAGAGAGATAACCCTATTACCTCAGAACGGTGCCATGGGAATTAATTAGCTTACTTTTTTTTTTCAGTCTCTGAAAAGAAATCACTTCTTATACCAATGTTTATTATTAGTTAGAACCAACATGAAAGTTTCAAGCTGAGAGGAGTCTTACAACAGCACATTAACTCAGCATCTGGCGATGAAGCCCTGGATCTAGTTACAGACACGAGTTTCTTAAAACTCGGCTGCCAATCTTTAGGGGTGAAAAATGTGGTCACGAAAACAGACATTGGATTACAACTGTTGCAAATACCATTAAATTAAAATTTACCGTCTTTCAAAAAACAGTCTAAGTCAGAATCATGATGTATGGCAATTTTATTTATTTATTTATTTATTAATCCTCACCCTCAGATATTTTTCTATTTATCTTCAGATAGAGTGGGAGGGAGAGAGAGGGAGAGAAAGAGAAACATTAATGTGAGAGGAACACATCAACTGGTTGCCTCCCACACGATCCTAACCAGGGCCGGGGACAACCGCAAACGAGGTACTTGCCTTTGGCCGGAATCGAACCTGAGACTCACGGGTCCAAGGGCTGACGTTCTACCGCCAAGACAAATTGGCCAGGGCAATGTATGGCAGTTTTAGACTATCATTTAATACAACAGAAAATGTAAAGTCCTTTGGATTTTGTTGTATATTTTCGTGAACTAGAATGTCGTTCACCCTTTCTATATCTATTTGTGTCTCTACCATGAGGGAACAGAATAAATGGTTTCCTAGCAGCAATTGATTTTCTTTCAGATAGAAGGTCATGTGATCTGACAGGATCCCTGAAGGTAAATGCCAAGAGTAGGCAGTGGCCACCAGTAATTAATGTCCTTGGTTATGCAGATGGTTTTTCAAGTTACACTGGGAAAAAGTATCTATGAGTAGAAAATCTAAACAAGAAGACCAATGCCCTAAGAAGGCAGCATTTTAAAAATGTATCCTCTTAACTCCTTTAGTCACAACTAAATACTATGCAAAGCATGGGCGATCTGATTCCCTTTTCAGGATAAAGATAATAACTGCAACTAGTCCCTGGGGATCTAAACAGTAATTGTACAAATGGCAATGATGTCAAGGGAATGCCACTGGGCAAGTTGACAGTAGTTCCCTGGGGGCATCCTGGGAGCACATCATTTCCTGGGGGAGCTGCTCGACTTTTAGCATCCAGCTGTAGGAAGGTGGAAATAGTCTGCTGCTTTGTTCTTTTATTATCTTATTTTTCATGCCAGTATCCTGTTTGACCCCGTTTCTTTCTCCTATTTCCTGCCTGAAACTTCCTAGGACTGCATTGGAAAATAACTTATTTTTCTTTCAAAGGAGTCATATGTAGTCTGCGCCCTTCTTACCACCCACCCACCACCTACCTACCCGAAGACAGAAGCGAACATCGATTTGACTGACCAACAATTGTTGAAGTTGTTCAAGATCACCGTGCCATGAACTCTGTAGAAGTTGCACTTGGGGAGCCTGGATTCCACTGATGCTCAATAGTTGTCTCTGGACATCACAGTTAGCCACATGGAGCGCAGTCTGATTGTCATAATTGCAAAGGGTGATATCTGCTCCCTTCTCCAGAAGAAACCCAACAACCTGAAACACCACAGCATTCTCATTTAGCATTTTTGAGTATCAGTCATGTCTTTGGGGCTGAGTGGAAAATTTACTTAGACATGGTTTTGATTCATGATATAGGAAAGGAGAACAAGAGGGAAATAAAAATGAAGAATTGATTTGGAAGCAGGTGATTGCTATGTGCCTTTTTTAAATTTGGAAAACAAAAATTTCTATGATATGGATGGTTTAAGGATACTACAGTGTTTTAAAACTAGAGGTCTGTGAGCATTTTATGTTAAACCCACATAAAACACTCGAGTCCTAGTATCATCTGTAGTTTAGAATATCAAACCCCAATATCAAGCTTATAGATTATTGAATGTTACAAGTATTTCTAGGAGAGAATCAGTTCTATTTGAAATGATGAAGGCATAATGTATTCAATAAATACGGATTGAGTGACTCATGTGTGTGTCAAGAACTGTTCTTGGTGCTGAGATCCCAACAAGGAACAAGACAGGTGACCAGACTTTAAGGCAGTTACAATCTAGTGAGGAACAGAGATGGATAAAAAGGCAGTTGCAACACAGTGTGATATATGCAACAACAGAGTAAATACAGGAAGCTGATGGGGCACTTAGAAGAAACCTGTTAAGCTGTCTTAGAGGAGCTGAGAAGACTTCCTGGAGAAAGTGATGTCTAAGTTGAGAACTGTGAAATCAGACTCAGTTAACTAGGCAAAGACTGCTGGGAAAGATGGTTTCAAGCAAAGGGTATGGTGTGAACAAAGTAATGTGAATGCTATAGACAGAATTATGTTTCCTAAAAAATTCCTATGCTAAAACCCTAACCTACAATGTGATTGTATTTGGAGAGTGAGCCTCTAGGAAGTATTAAGGCTAAATATGGTTATAAGGATAGGGCCCTGATCTGCTAGGATTATTGTCCTTATAAGAAGAGACATCCTCTCTCTCTCTCTCTCTCTCTCCTCTTCCCCCCCCCCCCCCCGAAAGTGAGGACTCAGAGATAAGGTGCTGTCTGCAAACCAGGAAGAGAGCTCTCACCAGAAACAGAATCAGCCAGAACCTTGATCTTGGACTCCAGCTTCCAGACTATGAAGAAATATATTTCAGTTGTTTAAGCCACCCAAACTCTAGTATGTTTGTTATGGGAGCCTAAACCAATACAGTGGACAAGAGGACAAGTAGCATTCGAAGCTCTGAAAGGCGGTATGCAAGGCTGGAGCTCAGGACGGGGGAAGGAGGAGTAGCAGATGTAGCAAAGTCATCAGTAGCTAAATTTAAAGGCCTTATCAACCCTTTTTAGGAATTAGTTATAATCTTCAGGGAAATGAGGAACCAGTAAAAAAAAATTATTTATTTTTTTTATCCTCACCCAAGGGCATTTTTTCATTTTTTGTCCAGATAGAGCGGAGGAAGAGAGAGAGAGAGAGAAACATCGACGTGAAGGGGACACATCAAGTGGCTGCCACCCACACAACCCAACCAGGGCCGGGGACAAACTGCAACCGAGGTACATGCCCTTAGCGGGAACCGAACCCAGGTCTCTCTGGACCGCAGGCTGACGCTCTAACCGCTGAGCCAAACCGGTCAGGGGGAACCAGTAAAAATTTTAAGCAGAGAAATAGCATGATAAGTATTTTTTTTTAATCACTCTGGCTGCTGAAATAGATTGATGTGGAGAAGAACAGAAGTTGGGAGACCAAGGAGATGATGGAGATATGATGGTGATGAATAAGGGAAGTGGCGGGGGAATGAAGAACCTAGGAGGTCGGGGTAGTTCAACATGGGAGCTGACAGTGAGCCAAGGATACCAAGGATAACTCCCAGGTATCTGACTTCAGCCCACGTTTGTCTATTCCCTACTGCCGCTGCAGACCAGGCCACCGTGATGTCTTCCCTGAAACAACGCAACAGCCTCCAAATAATAGGTCTCTGCATTTCCAAACACCTTTGCATGAAACCCATTACAAATAGCTAGAATTAAAAAGTCAGATAACAGTATGTGTTGGCAAGCATGCAGAGAAATTAGAAACATACACTACTGGAACAGTGCAGCCACTTTGGGAAACGGGCTGACCATTCCTCAAATAATTAAACAGAGTTGGCATCCGAGGCAGCAGTTCCACTCCCAGGAATGTGAGGAATGGAGTGAAAGAGAAATGAAAACATGTGACCACACTAACACTGTGTACAGCAGTGTTTAGAGCAGCATTAGTCATAGCAACCAAAACATGAAAACAACCCAAATTTCCATCGATGGGCAAAAGGATAAATAAAATGTGGTATACCCATAGAATGGAATGTTATTCAGCTATAAAGAGGAATGAAGTACTGATGCATGCTACAACATGGATGAACCTTAAAAAGAGTATGCTAAGTGCCCTGGCTGGTTTGGCTCAGCGGTTAGAGCGTCGGCCCACAGACCAATGAGTCTCGGGTTCGATTCCTGTCAAGGGCACGTACCTCAGTTGCGGTTTGTCCCCGGTCCTGGTCGGGTCATATGAGAGGCAGCCGGTGGATGTTTCTCTCTCTCCCTCTCCCTCCCTCCCAGTCTATCTGAAGAAAAATGAAAAGATGTCCTCCGGTGAGGATTAAAAAAAAGAGTGTGCTACGTGAAAGAAGCTAACCACAAAACCACATACTACATGATTCCATTCATATGAAAGTCCAAAATGAACAATAACCTATCCAGACAGAAAGCAGATAGTGGTTGCTTAGCGAGGGCGGGGGAGGGGAAAGAACAGGCGTGCTGGCTAAAGGTATGGAGTCTCTTTCTTTGCTTTCTGCGGGGAGGAGCTCTTTTTGAGGTGATGAGATGTTTTAGAAATGACTGTGGTGATGCTTGCACATTCATGTCAATATACTAAAAACCATTCAATTCCACACTTTAAATGGGTGAGTTGTGCAGTATATAAATTATATCTCAATAAAGCTGTTTTTGAAAAATGTTGTGTGCCTTTGTGGCCCTGGGTGAGCTGGCCCCTGCCTTTCTTTCCAGCCTTGTCCTGTGCCAGTCTCCCCTCCCCGCAAGCTAGTGACCTTCTCTACCTCAAATCTGCAAGTTTCTCCTACCCAAGAGCCTTTGTCTCTGCTACTCCCTTTGCCCCGACTGCTCTTTTCAGATGCTATCCTTTACCATTATTTTAGTCTTAGCATCAATGTGCCCACATCAGTGAGAACCCTTCCTGACCACCTTATCAAAAGAGGATTCACTCTGTTGGTTACTTCAAAGCCTTCATAGCAATTTGTAATTTAATTAAGTGCCTTTTGTTTCCCTGTTTATTGTTTCACCTTATCATATGAATAAATATTTTATGAATGAGTGAATGATTTAAGATAAATAAGTGGGGATGCTGTTTAATAGACTGAGGAACACTGCCGCTGGTGTTCCTCGGGAAGATTAGATAGGGGAGAAAAGGGAAGACGACCTGAACGTGCTGTGCCTGAGATGCCTGTTACCTGAACGTGGAGACGGGCAGCTGGAAGCTCAACATACTGTCTACACAGTGACTCAGGTGCGAGGTGTGGGCCGAGTTACAGAACTGGGAGCCATCCCCACCTGACTGAGGAATGCCAATGTTTAATGGACGAGAAGAAAGGCTCCATAAATGAGGCTGGGAAATGTTGCCAGGGAGCTAGGAGAAAAATTAGAAAAAAAGCCAGTGGAAGAAAGCCTTTAAAAAAAAATTGGCATCCAGTGCTGCTCAGAGCTGAATGTAACCAGGGACACTCTAGGTCGTGCTGGCAACGGCAGTTTCAATGGAGTGACAGGAAAAGATGCCAGACGGAAATAGCTTGAAGAGGTGAGGGGAAGAGGCAGGGAGGACTGATCAGTAGAACATTCTTTTTTTTTTTTTTTTTTAATGTTTTATTGATTTATTTTTAGAGAGAGAGAAAGGGAGAGGGAGAGAGAGCTAGAAACATCAATGAGAGAAAACATCGACTGGCTGCCTCCCACATACCCCCCACTGGGGGTTTGGCCCACAACCTGGGCATGTGCCCTGACCAGGAGTTGAACTGGCGACCTCTTGGTACATGGGTTGATGCTCAACCACTGAGCCACACCGGCCAAGCAGTAGAGTCTTCTTTAGAAAGGCTGCGAAAGACAATTCTCCAGAAACTTGGTTTCCGTGATTTTATGGGCAGAGGCACTGGCTGCCTTTGTTCTAGACAGGAGCCATACAATTAGAAAAAGTAGGACACAGTTCGTCCCTGGGTTTAATTGAAGTTATCGATAACACCACCTCATCCCTGAAAGACATTCGGATCAGCAGTCAAGTCACTGGCCAGGGTTGTTATGGAGGATAGATTTGCGCCAGACTTCTCCCTGGCGGGCCACGGTGAGGTCTGCAGTCGCTAATACATACTACTGGGCCAGATTGATGCCTCAGGCTGAACGGGACGATCGATAGAGAAACTTAAGAAAAATGCCACCTGGTTTTATAGGGCAGATCCTGATGGTATATGGAATTTGTTTAGCTGGAGGGGTCCAGGACCCTGGATGGCGTGGTTGAGGCTAGGCTACAGTGTGACCTCATTCTGCTGCTTGGAGTCCTGTGTAGTAACTTTAGTTGAATGTTGAATGAGACAAAATGATAGATTTGGTCCCAGCCTCTGTTGCTCAGATTAGTCAGAGTGACCGACAGAGTGGTGTACTCATGGGAAAATTCACCAGAAACCAAGACAATGTAGAAATGAGGGGCAGGTTTATATATATATTTTATCCTCAACCAAGGACATTTTTGCACTTATCTTCAGATAGAGCAGGAGGGAGGGAGGAAGAGAGAGAGAGAAACATCAATGTGAGAGAGACACATCAACTGGCTGCCACACACACACAACCCCAACCAGGGCCGGGGACAAACTGCAACTGAGGTACATGCCCTTAGCGGGGACCGAACCCGGGGCTCTCTGGTCTGCGGGCTAATGCTCTAACCACGGAGTCAAACTGGCC